GGACAAAAACGACACGTCTGCCCGGACGACACGCCATGGAGACTGCCTCATGCTCTGCACTTACAACGCCAGGACAGTCTCCACAAACGCCGACCTCCACGCTCTTCTCGACGCTGCAGAGCACATCAACTACCACATCATTGCTCTGCAGGAAACGAAGTCCAGGAAGAAGGACGTGCGACAGATGAGTGATGGGACCCTCATCATTCGTGGTGAAAAGGTTCCATCACGAAACGTGGGAGACGTCGGCTTTGTCGTCCACCCATCTATCGTCCATCTTGTCGATTCGCACGAGATCCTATCACCTCGACTAGGCATCCTACGACTACGACCTCCACATCAGAAGACCATCAGCATCATCAACTGCTATTCTCCAACATCAGCAGCTGACGAATCAGAACTAGATGCTTTCTACGAAGATGTGGAGGAGGTCGTCCGCAACGAGAAGTCCTTTTACAAGTTTGTTGTGGGCGATTTCAACGCGAAAATCGGGATGCCACTGGAAAGGGAATATAGGATCGGGAAGTTTGGATATGGGCTCCGGAACGAAAACGGCAACCGTCTTGTTGGGCTTCTCTCCGCCGCACGACTTTTCCATGGAAATTCCATCTTTATGAAGAAGGAACATCGCCGGTGGACATGAGAATCGCCCAACGGAACGACCCACGCGGAGATCGACCACATTCTCACCAACCGAAGGTGGAGCTTACTCGATGTCTCTGTAGTTCCATCCTTCTGTAGTGGCTCCGATCACCGCCTCCTTCGAGCGAAGATACGACTCAGCCGAAGGCTGGAAAAGAAAGTCTGTCATAGTGCCGCGAGAAGGAAGGAAGTCGTTTATGACGGTAACAGGCTGGAAGAGCTCATATCAAGTTGTGACTGGCCCATCGAGGAGGACCCAACGTACGACTACGACCGGCTTCTGAAAGGATTGCGAGCCTGCGGAGAATGCGCCTCAGTGACTTCTGAGAAGAACTTGGACCGCATCTCGAAGACCACCAAGGAATTGCTCGAAAGAAGAAGATCATTGAGGCAGGATCCGAATGCAACTCATCTCGAGCGACTGATTGCCAACACCAGTTGCAGAACAGCTTTGCAAGAGGATCTCAGGAAGTACAGGCAAGCCAAGATACTGAAAGCAGCAGAAAGAAGACGAAGTCTTAAGAAGTGCCGAAGGGACCTCTGCGAATATCACGTACCGCTGGCTGCACTACTGAACGAAGACGGGACTCCGACTTCTTCCCGATACAAGATGGAATCTATCGCGAAGAACTTCTACACCAACCTCTTCCGCTCATCAACACCCGTGCAGATGCCCGTTGTTCCCACTGGAGAAGTACCACCACGAATTCTACCTGCTGAAGTGCGTATCGCGATACAGACCATGAAGACGTCCACGGCTCCAGGACCAGATCATCTTTCCGTCGAACTTCTGCGAGCCGGAGGACACCGTCTACACGAGATTCTAGCGTCGCATTTGACATCTTACCTTCAGAAGGAGAAGATTCCCGACCAGTGGAGAACGTCAAGAACCGTCCTTCTCTTCAAGAAGGGTGAACGGGAGGATCTTCGGAACTATCGTCCAATATGCTTGCTGAGTGTGCTGTACAAGCTTTTCACGAAGATTATCCTCGCTCGCATATCAAGGACACTGGATGAAGCCCATCCTCAAGAACAAGCTGGATTTCGCAAAGGATTCAGCTGCATGGACCACATCCAGACCGTTTCGTGGGTCATAGAAGTCTGCCGGGAGTACCCACTGCCTCTCGTCCTAACCTTTGTCGACTACGAGAAAGCCTTCGACAGCGTCGAAACCAACGCCATCCTGTCTGCGCTAGTCGATCAAGGAGTGGACCCAGCTTACGTGAGGACGTTAGCCGACTGCTACAAGGACTGTACAACGACGATGCAGCTATTCCATCGCCCCCTGACCATACCAATCGGGAAGGGGGTCCGACAAGGCGACACAATCTCGCCGAAGCTGTTCACCGCGGCCTTGCAGTGGGTGATGAAGTCACTGGACTGGGACGAGAGAGGCATACGAGTTGATGGGAGATTCCTGTCCAACCTTCGTTTTGCGGACGACATCGTTCTCTTCTCGAGCAGTATCACCGAAGCAGAGACGATGCTGAAGGAACTAAACGAAGTAGGGAAGAAGATCGGACTGCGAATAAATCGGAAGAAGACTCAGTTCATGAAGAACGCCCTTTGCGAAGATGCAGAAATGGAATTGGAAGGCACCCCGATTATGGAGACGTCTTCCTACGTGTATCTCGGACGTTCGATGAACATGGAGAACGACTTGAGGGAAGAACTCAACAGGAGAAGAAGAGCAGCCTGGGCCGCCTTCGGGCCCCTGAAGGAAGCCACCGACCGACTGACGGACCCGGAGCTTCGTGCCCACCTGTTCGACTCAACCGTTCTCCCGGCGCTCTGTTACGCAGCTGAGACTTGGGCCGACACTGTAGCCACGTCGAAAGCTCTACGGACCACCCACAGAGCGCTCGAGCGCAGTCTTCTGAAGATGACCCGACGCAAGCAACATCTAGTCGGACTTCGCAGCACGGATATGAGAAGAATGTCCCGTCTTCGTGACCCAGCGGAATACGTCGCGAAAGCCAAACACCGATGGGCCGGTCACATAATGAGAAGAACAGACGACAGATGGACACTAAGAACATCGGAGTGGATTCCTCGCGAAGCCAAACGTCCCCGAGGAAGATCTCCAACGAGATGGGCAGACGTGTTCGTGGAACGGATGGACCAGCTGAGAAATCAGCTGGATACGATTTTTGCACCTGGAACTCGTGGACGCAGCCACCGACGTCAGCCAAGAAGATCGTGGATGTCAGAAGCGAGGGACAGGGAAAAATGGAAACTTCTGAGCTGGGGCCCGCACGTCACGTGAAGCCGGGCCATCTAAGTATCTAAGTAAGTAAGAGACTGCCTATGAAAGGGAGACGGTCAAGAAGTGCGATTTTTCCGTCTGGCACCAACTTAAAACTCCTATTTTCGTGCTATGGGAGTTTCAAAAAGTACCGAGCAAAGCACACTGGCTTACTAGCTGTTTGAAGTAATCATCTGATAAGTTTTACGACTTTTGTCAGAAAACTGACCGGATTATCTAAAAAATTGCTAATGATTGCATTTTCGTGCGTTTTTGACCTTTAACAATTTTGTATAAAATCGATTGCAATGGATCGAACAATAATGCATGTAATTATTTAATATATTTCTTTTGAGATTTTAAGTTATTTTCGAACTTCATTAAACTCTAAATATGCCTATGAAAGGCCAAAACATCTAAGAACAAAATGTTTTATGTAGATTTTGAGAATGGACACTTTGTTATGTTACAATTTACGATGGAAAAACGGTTTAATCGTGACGTGAAGAGACTTAGGAACCTAAAAGCTACCCCTGTGACGGTTGTGAAGAGATTTTTCGTACTTCAAAAAAGATTATATACCCTCATATATATTATACACTGAGTTGCGATTGGATATAGAGCGGTCCCAACAGTATCTAGATCTGTAGGCTGGCATCAACTTAGATATGTGGCTTTTTATCAATCGCTTTTCACTGTTGTACAAATACCGTAAGATTGAAGCGTGTTTTGAAACATCAAGAGCCATTTCCCCAAACAAAAGAATTAAAAGGGCCGAAAGTCTTGCATTAGACTTCTGAAGACACCCACTTTATGTAGAATTTGCGCTCAACCGTAATGCTTTTTTTTCGAAACTTACACCAGGTACACCGTGACAAGTGTTTTGCAACGGCTTTCAAAAATGTGACTGCCATTTGAAAAGCTTGAAAACTCGTGCGTAGTAAAATTAGTATACGTTGAAACACTGCTGCACAGATTTTAGACCTTTTTTGGTGACAATTTTTTGGATGTTAATTTTGCAGTTGGTCTATACCAATTTCCTACCGTGATAACACATAGAAAAACATGGGTGTGATTCGCTTTCTGCTGTATCTATAAGCTGAAGCCATCCCTACTGGATGTTACCCAGAAATTGGCAAAAGACTTTGAGAGGAATTAGCGATTAAACGGTGTATAAATACTTTTGAGACACCCCGTATACGCTATGCATGTCGAATTTTCGAATATTCTGTGCTTATCGAATTTTCGAATAGTCAATTCTTATCGAATTTCCGAATATTCGGTGCTCAACGAATATTCGAATATTTGATGGACATCGAATGATCGAATGAATGACCCTCGAATATGCGACTATCGAATAATATTCGAAAGTTAAGATTTTCGGATATTCGACTTTCGAATAATATTCGAAAATGAAGATTTTCGAATACTCGATTATCGAATATATTCGAAAACTGAAAATTTCGAATATTCGACTTTCGAATTTTATTCGAAATCTCAGATTTTCGAATATTCGACTTTTCGAATCATTCGCATTCGAATGATTTATTCGAATGATCGAATAATTATTCGATTCGGTCCCAAGTATAGCGCGCACGCAGCGCAGGCCTTAGCGCGCGAGAGCGCAAATTTACTTCAACGATCCGGTTTGATCCCGACCGAAACAGACTGTAGTCGAGGCCAGACTTTGAGGAACATGTACGTAAGTGCAATTTTATTCATGTACCGCCATATGATCGTGATCTAAACATTTATCAAATGGTCTGCAAAAGAAACTTCTAACATTTATATAAATCGCTTCTGCTCCATAACAACATTGATTACAGTTTCAAATAGAACCTTCTAGTTTCTCCCAATTCTTTCGCCGTCCTTCCCATCCTGTTGTAACTTCATGTTAAACCCACTTTGAAAGATAAAACATTCGCAGAGAAGCTCAAATTTTTTCGTTTTCTAATACATTTCTTCGATTACAAAACATCAAAAAGTTTGTTGAATGACGAGTGCGTGCGAACAACTTATATTGACAAACTTTTCCATTGATTTCTTAGCAAGAGACAGATGAGCAGTTGTTCGGAAAAATATCAACTTTCAGATGATTGAGATTGAATGTCCAGTCAAAACAAGTAGTTTTGATGTACCATTGCGTGCGTCTTTTTTATCGCATCAGTCGATCAAAACAGCAGCGATAAGATAGTGTGCCGTTCTCGATTGATCATAGCTAGATGAGCTCCATCGTCATTGCTTTGCTCTTTAGCGTTTTCGTTGCTGTGGTGAGCATTTTTCGAATTTTGATTTACTTATTATTTTCATTAATTTTTCTTAGCAATCGCGCACATGTGGTAGTGGCTATAGCTGTCCCGACTCAGCAACATGCTGTCGACTGCCTGTAAGTGGTTTTTTAACTTCAACAAAAAAATGCTTTGAAGGAGCTGAGAAAAACTTTAAGGATGGGAAATGGGGTTGTTGTCCAATGCCCGAAGCCGTATGTTGCCAAGATCACGTCCATTGCTGCCCTAAAGGTTCCGAATGTATGGATGCAATGTGCAAGCAGAAAGAGGTCAGATCCTTTTCTCGGGTCATTTTATTTCGCCAACGTCTTGGCCGAAAGTTAGGTAGTAATTTCTGTGATAGCATCTTTGATGGCATGAGAGTCACTCTTTATGAGGTTCAAGTTTCCAAGAATGGGTATCTAACTTATTGTAATACCTCCTTTTCATCCAAAATATTATAATTTCTGAATGATCGAATCAGTTGAGATCTGTGAGTTTTTTTTTCGGTGCGGGATAATATGGGGTATGGTCTATTACATCTGATCCCAAATATGAAATCTCAAACTTTGAAACAGGTTTGCGGAAGGGCTTTTGTTTGGGAGAGCGAAGTGAAGCAAAAGTAAAGAATATTATTTTCGCCGAAAGTTATAGTCTGCATTTAATTACAAACAACATAATCATTACGCTCACCCATATTCTTAGTCAGCCAAAACCACATGAAATTTCTATTCCACATACACCTATGGTAGCTATTTATGAAATTGTCTTACGCTATAGGCCTCGGGCAGACTTCACGCGATTTGATCGTGGCGACTGAATCGCGACGAGACACCTGTTACAACATCATTCCATGCCGATCAACTTGCATTCGGTTGTGATACTTTTCCAGCCCGAAATTTTTGAATGTGAAATGAAAATGAATGGAAATCTTGGCGATTAGATCGCGACGATTAAGTCGCGTGAAGTCTGCCCGGGGCCATACGCCATACGCAAGCCATACGCTTTTTGCACTTCAAATCATGGGCCTATTTGACCGCACAATTAATCGAATTTTCACAAAAGGCTCGCTGCGCAAAATAATTCTATTTGTTAATTCTATATATTTATTTATTTTATTCTGTTTATTAATTTTACTTTTTTAATTCTACAATTTTTCCTCTCGTATTCGACATACTAAACAATTTGAGTGCGAAGTTTTATGAGATCTCCAATATTTGTTGGAGATTGCTGGTGCCCCATACAAATCTCAAAACCTTCGTAGACGGTAATAAAGAAGAATTTATGTGGCGGCTACATGGCCGTGCTCTTAACGGGTTTTCATTTTGAAAAACTCGTCAGTTTCTAAGAAAAAAATAATATGGTCCAGTCGAAAATCAGAATTTCAATCCGATGTATATTGCTCAGCCTTCCTACAGGGCGATGATGTACCACCACAGAAAAAGACCAAAGCTCAGAAAACAAATGACGAAGGAGAAATTGTCTGCCCAGATAGAAGAAGCAAGTGTCCGACAGGTAGGGAATTTCAAGTCCTAGTTCACACAAAAACTGCTCGTTATTTTGAAAAATTATGTTAGAGTCTAAAAGATACTTTTCAGGTGCCACGTGTTGTCTTCTTACGGAAGGAAGGTATGGATGTTGCCCGGTAGAGCATGCCAATTGTTGCGCAGACCATCTTCATTGTTGTCCAAGCGGCTACAATTGTGATGCATCCGGTCAAAGGTGCATCCAAGCTGAGGTAAATTTATTTCTTCAGTTATAGAGAACCTGTCAGTTTAGACGAATCGAAAAAAATTAAAGGCACCGTCCACCCAAAATCTCGAATTCAATGTTTTTGTCGACTTCAGGCTTTCTGAAAGCCCTGATTCCGAATATGGAGTCGAAAATCCGCGAAACCCCCAAAAATCCCCGTTTCGAGAACCCTCTGCAGCAAGCGCAGGCGAGAAAAAGCATGCAAGTGGGCACTTTGCTACTTCCGGAGCGAATTTCTCGCTCCAGAAGCAGTCTTTTGCGGCGAAGCTTGAAAGTTTGTCTAGTATGGGGCCCCACACTAGTATGCCATCATAATCTCGCCAACCTCCATTTTGGGTGGACGGTGCCTTTAAATAGCCATTCAGGGTTACAATGTGATTGGTTCCTACAGTAAGTTTCACTCCACTCCCATTCGAGAAAAGTCAGGAGTCCGTATGGGCGAAGCTGATGAGGTACGTCTCGCAATCTTTCAGTCTTTAAGATACTGTTGAATTTAGAACGAAATTGACGAGCAACTGCAGCCGATAGCTTGCGGATACAGAAGGACATGTCCTGCATTCAGTACATGTTGTATGGTCCCTCATGGAAAGCATGTAAAACATATGTGTTGCCCAATGAAAGATGTAGGTTTCTTTTCTAGCAAATCATCGTATTTTTGCACGAAATCAATGATTTACTGCCGTAAAGCGGTCGTGAGAGTTTTGGTTTGAGTTTACCATTATAAAAACTGCTTGCACTATGCCCGTGATAGGAAAATTTATGCTCATAAAACTGCTTAAGCTACTATTATTATTCAAATATTTCTACGAAGGCTATGTCATGTACTCGCAGATCCGGATTCCAGATAAACTGCAGGCAGAAGACATTTTGTTGTATAATGGGCCTACTTCACGCGATTTTAGTCGCGACGCGATTTGGCGATTTGCCAAAAGACTTCAGACCCGACACTAGCAATCTGCACATGCTAGTGTGTATGACTTGTGTGGAAAGATAAAATGCCCCACCTTCTGCTGAAATTGTTAATGATAATAATGATAATAATAATATTAGGTCGGCGCAAAAGTTTTGTCAGTTTTTTCAATCCATCGGCAAACACGCTAGAATGAAAATAAACAAACGCTTCAAAATGTATCCGATGCAGAATTTCTTCCTCTTTCCAGTTGCTAAACTCCCATTGTGTTTCGTTGCAGAGGTGACGAGATATTTGCTGGAAATTACAACCAGTCGTTTTTACCATGTCCAACTTTCGCTAATTTTCAAAATTTTTGTATGAGACTTATGGAGGAGCCCTAAGAACTAGCAGATAGGGCAAACCTTTTGCCAACAGAAGCAATTTTTTGTAGCCCTACTTGTCTTTCAGAATTTCTACGATTTGTTTTCTGAAGTGACCAAATTTTACATTCAGCCTATTTTAACCTGATAGAACATAAAATGTTGAACATTTCAGTCACCATTCGATGCAACTTTTTCCCGCCTTTTTATACTTGACTTTTTTTGCCGAGACAGGCGAAATTTGTGGAGAAAATCGCAATATTTCTCAATTTTAGGAGTGCGCACTGACGTAAGCTATGTTTCAAAATCTTCGCAATTTGAAGCAAAAACCGCTCATTTACTTTGTAACGGTAGCGGTATTAATAATCGAGTGTTTAAACCTCAGTATTCTGTAGATTTTGCAGTGTTTGGTGCAATAAGGTTACGCAGTTTTTCCGAAACACAAAACTTTTAGAAAATTATTTAGCAAAAATCCGAAAAAGAAGCTGAAACAAAGAAAAAAATTGCATAAGTTGGCAGAAGGTCTGCCCCTGGTGGTTATTAGGGCTCCTCCGATCGCCTCATACAAAAATTTTGAAAATTAATGTAAGTTGAACATGGTAAGAACGAATGGTTGCAAATTCCAGCGAATATCTCGCCACCTCTGCAATAAAACATAATGGGAGTTTAGTAGCTGGAAAGAGGAAGAAATTCTGCATAGGATACAATTCAACATGTTAGCTTATCTTCATTCTAGCGTGTTTGCCGATAGATTAAAAAAAATGACAAAACTTTTGCACCAACCTAATAATAATATGATGATGTTAATATTAATGTTATAGTGATTATTGATAGTTGGAAGAATATTGCCAAATTGCGTCGCGACAAATCGCGTGAAGTATACCTGGCCCTTAACATGAAAAAGCAGTTTGAAATTTGTTTTTTTTTTTTTGCCCCAAAACGCAAATTGTCAGATAATTCCCAGTAACTAATATTTTTTATGAATTCAAAAAATAGAGGAATTTCGACCTAATTAGTGCTGGACTGTTATTACAGGGTGTTTGCTGTGAACATGCATGCTGTCCACCAGGGTATCATTGCCGTCCGCATGGAAAATGCGAAAAACACGCTGCACAAGATGGGATATTCGACTTTTTCGGATTCTAAGGAGACTTTGTGATGTTATTATCATTTATGTTTCATATAGTTTTATGTACTTTATTTGTCATTTTCAAACAATAAAATTTCTTTATTACCCTTATTCCACTCGCAGTCACCAAAGTTTTTTTTACCATGTAAGAGGGAGGTAATCGTCTCTCGATGGTGTTTTGCCAGGACCCTTCGAATAGCAGTATAAGTGCAGATTTATCATAGTCTGAAAATTTTGCTGGCCTTGATTAAACGCGAAGCTAGCAGAGTTCAAGGAGATATGTAATGATCTGGTATTGCAAATAATGCTTTGATCCATTTCCAAGCCTCTAACGGCGAAAGCGTCGTTTGCTGTATCCACGCTAAATCTAACTCCCTCCGATTAGTGTCACTCCTTAATGTAGGCCCCGGGAGAGGTGCTTCTGCATTGGTTTGGTCCTCTATTGTTGTCTCGGAATGGAGAGAATGGCCTTGGAACGCCAAAGTGCTATCCGCTCCGCCCAAATCCAATTAAGCTCCGCCCACCCATGTACTGAAAGCCATGCTTCCCCCCCCCCCCTCAAGACGGGGGACTCAAGAACCGAGTTTTTGGGGGTTTTGTACAATTTGCACTTCGTAACTGTAATCAGAGCCTCTGGAAGGCCCCACTGGCAAAACATGGGAGACGAATTTTTGGGTGGACGCTGCCTTTGAGTAATACTGCAAATTAAAGGCTATAAACCTATTTGCTACTGGGAAAAGGAAAACCCGCTGCTTTTCTTCATCAAGGGGCGGTATATATGAATTTCTTGATCTTGGGACGTTTACTGTACCATCAGCCGTTTGGAAGGTCGTTTATGACGGTGATGAGCGTCCAGTCAGAGATTGGGAGATTGATAAATACTGTTCTTGTTGGTGTACCAATGGATTCCCTTTCTGCGTTTGACGACCCGCTGCGTGTACAAAAATACGTACAAAACGCTTGTGCTTCCTTCAAAGACGTCTGCATTTTTTATACATTATTTATATTTTTATATAGATTTTAATTATATTTATGTTTAATATTATTACATATATTTTTTGATATTTTTTCTATAAGCCGGTAGATTTGAAAGTAGTTTAATGCCTAGATGCCCGACTTATTTTGTGCGAAAGGAAGAGAACTTTGAAGAGAACTTTGCAAGCACCCATAGCACGTTTTCTTGTAAAAGTAAACAACGTAGATTTTATTCACTCAGAAAAATCTGCGTTTTCTTACATCGATTAAACCTCTCCAAATCCTAATTTTTATTTAAAATCGCATAAAGTAGCGTTGGAAAATTTAACCGAGCCTAATCGTTTCCATGGATCATCTAAATCAGATTAATTTCATGGCTCGTGTGAAAACCAACCGCAAATGGGAAAGACAAAAATTTAGAATTCGACTATGTGTGTCAAAGCGATTGGAGACAATAACATTATAAGTTGCAGTTTCTATAGAAACTTTATGAACAGCATAAGCAGAGGGCTAAGGGCCCACCCCAAGTTTTCAGTGTGCTCAGTGCCGCCAAACTGTAAGGTAGGTTTCTATATAAAGTTAGAAAACCTATAATTGTTATACATAGTTCACAACGCATAAATGAATAAAAATGTAACGAATAAATAAATAAATAATGTAAAAAATGTACCTTTAGCCCTTCAGCAAATCTCATAAAGTATAACATTTTTTAGAAAATAACTAGTTTTCCAAACTCGGAAGCTGATTTTGAAGAGAAATTACCCTAATTTCCGGGGTATAAGGCGCAGTAGCTTTCACCGCGCGCGGACTGATGTGCGATGACGTTCGCGATGCGCGGCACCGCACAAGCTGCCAGCAGCAAATCTCTACCTTTTCTTTTATCAAGAATGACAAGAATAAAACAAAAACAGCGCCTTCAAAGTATCAGTAGTATCACTTTAAAGAGAGGACCGTTTCAGTACTAGTAGTGTTATTGGAAACGAAGAAAAGCACAAAATGCAGCACAGGCAACATCACTGGAAACAAAAGAAAGAACCACCTACCTGAAGGCATGATTTATAAGAAGTGAAGAATAATTACAGCACTCTGAGTCTTTAGCTTTCTAGATTCAGAGAGCAATCATTCAAAAAGCATTTTCGCGCCATTGTTCGCTGCGGTGGGTGCGCCTTATACAAGGTGCGCCTTATACCCCGGAAATTAGGGTATTTACTTAGAATGAGAAGATTGTCTTTTTGAGTCTCTTGACTGAAAAAGCCAATTCTGTCCCATCAAAGCAAAAAAAATAAAAAACGAGCAAAAGATTTCACCATGTTTTTTGCTAGATGCCTCCGATCAAGCATCTCCTGTTTTTGTGAGATTCAAATTGCATTGTTACATAAAAAGAACCAAATAAGCCTGGTTTTCGTAGCTAAAATCTACTGTAGGTTGCTTGAAAACAACAGTCGAGCTTCACTCTCATAGAAAAATTTTGGCTTCTGCGTGGAAGACTACATCCAATCTTAAGATGATAGCACGATCTAGAGCGATAATGGGATAATTCAAAACTCACACAGGAGTTATATTTGTTACACTCTGTTTGATAGAAGTATCTGTCCCTAAAATTGGCAGAAATGAAAGAATCATTATCCTCACTTAACTAACACGAACTAATTTCTGAAAACACACTGCAAAATACAAATACATATGACAGAGATGGAGAGAGTTCACAAGGTTGCACTAGACAATATTTTGGACAGTGTGATTTTACAATTGTTAACCACAAAAAAAAGCTTTTGGCTGGACTGATTGGACAATTTTTGGTCTCCCTGAAAAAATAAAGAATCGCATGTTTGATAGCTAATGCCGTATCGTAGGGCTGACTTTAATGTAGTTCAACAATTTGAAGTAAATCATCCAAATCCCTCCGATACTGTACTTTGGGAATATTGAAGAGGTTATGAACCAATGAGAGCCAAAACGTGCCCCCAACAAACCACCAGCTACAAACATCTACAGCGTTATATGCTACGTAGAATCAGTGGGTCTGAATACCTGACCACAAAGCCCTGCAAAGTTTTGGGCACTTCATTTGCAATGACGACGCTTGCTAAGACTTCCTACCGTGATTCTAAAGTACTGGAGAATAGGTGATTTTTGCATTGAATCTCACAAGGGAAGTATTTCCAAGTCTATTCCGTTTTTGCGAAACGTTGTTCTGAAACATACGAAATTGAAAACCCCATTTTTCGGCGCTCTCTAAGTTCGAGGACCCTGCTCCGACCTGTTTTAGGTCCACTTATCTCAGCAGTGTAGTGGTTCGCGTAATGACATAGTAGAAGAGAGATCAGCGGTTCGAATCCGGCAGAGAGCAACTACCTTTGCATTTCAAGTGCCAGTTAGATACACATTCAAAACCGTCTGCAGACACAATTTTTGAAATATTAGGTCGATGCAGAAGTTTTGTCAGTTTTTTCAATTCATCGGCAAACACGTTAGAATCAAAGCTAGGCACAGGTGGCTTACAAGCAAGCTGGATATCGTTTTTGGGACGAAAAGCAAAGGGGGTTTCGTTTTTGTGCCCGAAGAGAGACGCAAAATTGGCGACTTGGCGACGTTTTTTTTTTAGTCGACGTTTCGCTTTTTTGGGGGATTTTGGGGAATTTTTCAGGTTTTTAGAGGAAATTTGGTTGAGGATCAAAGGGAACTTCGTAAAAATTCCCAAAAGTCAAGGAGGACTTCGTTTTTTCCATTTACATCTAGCCACCTCGTGCCGAGCCCTGGTTAGAATAGAGATAAACAAAAGCTTCAAAATGTATCCGATGCAGAATTTCTTCCTCTTTCCAGCTGCTAAACTCCCGTTGCGTTTCGTTGCGAGAGTGACGAGATAATTCCTGGAAATTACAACCACTCGTTTTTACCATGTCCAACTTTCGCTAATTTTCAAAATATTTCTATGAGACTTTTGGAAGAGCCCTAATAATCAGCAGATACGGCAAATCTTTTGCCAACTCATGCAATTTTTTTCTTTATTCGGCTGCCTTTTCAGAATTTTGCTGAACCTTTTTCCAAAAGTCTTGTGTTTTGGAAAAATCGCATAACCTGTTATTGCATCAAATACTGCAAAAGCTACAGAAAACTAAGGTTTCAACACTCGGTTATTACTACCGCTACCTTTACAAAGTAAATGAGCGATTTTCGCTTCAAATTATGGAGATTTTAAAACATAGGTTACATGAGTGCGCACTCCTGAAAATGAGAATTACTACGACTTTCTCCACAAATTTCGCCTTTTTCGGCAAAAAAGACATGTGTTAGAAAGAGGAGAAAAAGTTGCATCGAATGGTGACTGAAGTGTTCAATATTTTATGTTCTATGAGGTTAAAATAGGCTGAATATAAAATTTGGTCACTTCAAAAAATAAATCGTAGAAACTCTGGAAGACAAGCCGTAAGGCTACAAAAAACTGATTCTGTTGGCGAAAGGTTTGCCCTATCTGCTGGTTATTGGAGCTCCTCCAAAAGTCTCATACAAAAATTTTGAAAATTAGCGAAAGTTGGACATGGTAAAAACGAGTGGTTGTAATTTCCAGGAAATATCTTCACTTTCGCAACGAAACGCAACGGGGGTTAGCGGCTGGAAAGAGGAAGAAATTCTGCATAGGATACATTTTAAAGCTTTTGTTTATCTCCATTCTAACGTGTTTGCCGATGGATTGAAAAAACTGACAAAACTTTTGCACCAACCTAATATTACCTGAAAAGGTTGGATTTTCTAACACTGGTGCATGTAGTAAGATCCTAAGTTCCGGATTCGAACCATTGACCTCTCGCCCCTAATGCCAGCACGCTAACCACTACACCACTGCACCACTAACATAGCAGCGTATTCGAACATGAGGAGCGCCCAATATCGGGATTTTCAAGCTTTTTTGACTCTTTTTAGAAGAGCGTTCCGCAGAAACGGAATGCACATTTAAATCAACGATTAAAAATGGTTTACCCGATATGCGTCTCATGTCAAGCAGCCACGGCCATTAATAGTGCTTTCCTCTAAGTTGAAGCCAGTTCCACAGTATGCTGCCTCATGTTGCACGAAAGCTGATGATACGTAGTTACCGATCAGACATTCGATAAGTTTTTTGGGACACCCTGTATTGTGTGAAATACCCTTTGGAACAAGAAGAACTAATCGAAAAGCTGGTTATTGAAGGTACCTGTGCTATAATATGTAGTAAGTCATCATTTTCAGAAATGTCTTCGATGCTTACTCTTGCGCTATGCGCTTTCCATATCTTCCATAATCAGGTGAAGTTTTAGCTTTTCTCCAACGTCATACATATAAAATTTCTCGAAAGACTGGATCGGCAACATGAGTAACGACGATTTTTGCTAAATGATTTAACCGGTCAGGCTCATGCAAATCGTGAGGTTACATTCATGCAAGTCAGAAGCAAGTTCAATGCAACAACGCTCTTCCAAAGGATCATAAACGATGAGGTGTTGTGCCTGAATATTTGCCACGACCATGAACTATGCAAATTCGTTCATTATTCTGAGGTACCGGAATATTCCATGAGAGATACCGTTTCTATGACGCTACTTACACATATTGATGATACAATTTAAATCTTGTAGGACAACTGCACGATTTACGGAACTGGATCCATTCCATACTTGCCTTGCGATGTCACATATAAGCTCGACCGAACCCTCAGGAGTTCGACCTGCACATTCGAAATCCCAATTCGACCAACCGTGCAATCCGAGCCCATCAAGGTGCAGTCCGATGACGTAACCTGCAGCGGACTACCATCTGAAGTGACTACTATCCACATGTACTTAACAGAAAAACGCATACTAATCTACAGCATTTCCGACCTGGTTGGAAACTACACTGAAATACAAAGGTGCGCTAAAGAGACATTGTACTGACGACTACACGGCTGACAGGCAAGATAGCTTTGAAACTTACACCTATCCATTTAGATTACTCTTCGCAAAAAAACCTCAATTACACTGCGTATCTGTTCCTGTATTTACAGGCGCCAGTGAGTGCTTCAAACATATCTCATACTTGTATTTTTCAAGATGAGACAAAGGGAATGGAAATAGATGTGCCAGTTTAGGCAATAGCAGATTGTATTTCGGGAACGCCTACAACATCAGCGGCTACTACTTCTTGGATGCATATGCTTTTACTGGAAAGTGCGCTTGTGAAAATGGCGCTTGCTGCGCTAATATCGCGATCGACGAATACATGACAACAACTATTCCGACTACTCTGACAAAGTACAATAAATTCTCTTCTTTAAAATTATTAGGGGAAATTCATCTTCATGCTTATGTCTATTCTCAATCCAACAAACCTACTCGCTCGATCCATTTATCAGAAAAAGTGAACGAGCAGCAATTCTACATTGCCGACGAAAAGTGGCTTGTTTGATGCTGAGTGATGTAGCCAATACCGCTTATGTCAAAAAAAAGTTACCGAGCCCGTCCCCCTCCCCCACACGGAGTTCACTGAAATTGCGACGCACCATAAAGTGAACGAAATATGAATCCTAGAGCACATTTTGACTATCTTAACGAATCCCATTTTTTGATATATAGAAGCAGGGCTCAGCACAGCTGACACCGGGTCAGGCTGGATATTATTTTTGGGACAAAGAACAAAGGCGATATCGTTTTGGTGGCCGAAAAGACACAAAAATCATTTTTTGAGTCAAACCTTAGCTTTTTTTTCAAGGTTTTCACGCAGAATTAGGTCAAAGAATTCGTATGAATTTCACAAGATTAAAGGGGACTTCGCTCTGAAATTTCCCTGGTGCCAGCTCGTGCCGAGCCCTGCATAGAAGTGGCTGGATAGTCAAATTTCAGGAATTCCTGATTTCTTTGTAGATTACTCTCTGTGCACACTCTGGTCTCAAATAGACAAGAATCTATGGAATCTGAAGGCTTACTTGACAAAAAAGTACTTCCATACATCATAAGATGCGCCTCCCAAGCTGAATTGGAAGGTGTCCTTGATTTCCGAATCTGTCCACCTTGAAAAAAAAAGATATTCCGATGCGAAGCAAATTTCGGTGAGCTACCTTGGAATTCGGTGTTTTTGTACAAATTATGTGCGGTATTGCAAAGGCTGCTGCATGGCGAAGGCGCAGAAGCAGTATTAGTTGAGCGGGCGCGAACGCGGAGTGCGCGTATTCTCACCGTTGTAAATCCTGCGGCTCATGCGCTCTGGGGCTAATATGGCTGCCATCGCGCCCAAAGGTGTTGCGCTTTCGTCATGCAGCAGCCTTTACTTGTAACACCCTTCCCTTCAATGCTCCTGATTTGGTGGAATTTCTGATTGTAATGTTAAAGTAGTAGTGTCGTAGATCGCTCTCAATGTAGCTTTGTGTTTAGTATTCGTCAATCAATAAATTAGTGTAGAAGCCCCAGCACAGGAATATCCAGCTGCGCCTCACGTACAGAAATAAGGGAAAACAAAACAATAGGAAGTCAGCATCTGTTTGCCCCACTTTGCTTCCAAAGGTTGTGCGTTCGTTAACTCTTACTCAGATTGCAGAAGGCGAATTAGGCTCAAATCACTCTTGTGGAATTCGTCTTCTTCAACCTGTGTTGTAGTTGCTAAAAGGCATAACCGAAAGCGAAAAAAGGGACAAACGAATTCTTAGCTGGCTCCTAACTCCATAGTTCAACGGTTACAAGCACTACTCCTCGTTGGCCAAATTAGGAATCCTACAAGAAGTAGGATTCCTAATTTGGCCAACGAGGAGTAGTGCTTTGAATTGAATGCAAAAAGGGTAGCTAAGACTTTGACCATACATCACCAGTGCTACTCACCAGTCAGTAATACCTCGTTTTAAAATTAGACTGTATTGAGATCATTTCGCTATTCAACAGCAATAAAAGCGGTAGCACGGGTAACACTAGTAACACATTAACACGAGCAACCCTAGTAAAACGGGTAACACAGGTAATGTGTAGTTAAAGCCTAACTCGCCCTTGAAAGTAGAAATAAATCAATGATTTTTGAAAACTACCATTTCATCTGTGTAGCCCTATACTTGATAACCCCAGGTTCGCAAGAACTTGGTCCACGCAGGTTATCTGACATGCTAACCTTGAATCTATTTATACATATAAAACTGAGTGTTGATAAATTGTTAGTTAGTGTGTTCTTTGAAGAAAATTTTGCTGTGGACCGATCGGCGCCAGACTTTCTGTACGTATGTTTTTGACACCGGTCCGCCCCGTAGGCTACTTTTCGCAAAGAAATCCCACTCGTTTTATTAATTTATGGATTTTGAAAAAAAGTGATTCTTATCATTAGTATCAAATCGCTTCTGACTTTCGTGTAAAACAATAGCGATAGAACTTATTTTCATTTCGTGATAGGGAGATGAAAGCGATGTGGTCCGAGGTATCTGCCTGCGCTACAGGAGTAAAAGAAAACAGAAACGCAGATAAGCTGGACATTTAGAGTTGGACACCAAATTTGTTGCGGCTCAGAGAGCTCAGCACCCCTAGTCGCAACCGGCCGACCGCCATACACAACCAATCCCTAGCCCTAGGACGTCACGCGTCCGACACCTATGGGGCCCTTAAGGCGCGTCCACTCGACGCTGTCACCAAGATAATACACCCGTACAAAACACGACTAGATTAAGTAAGTTTATATACTAAACAACGATAAAACAGACAAATAACAAAGAACTACTACTAAACTACGGATTCCTAAACTACGAGAATAAATGAGAACAAGTTACGGGACGAGCCGCGTGTCCCAGAATACCGATGAATGAGAGAAATCACTCCAACTATGAAGTTCTGGGGTTCTCCTCAGAGTCGACCGCAAGGAGGCCCAGTCCAATGGAACGGCGCCTCACCAAGCTCCACTCCCGCATGATGTTCATCTACAACTTTCAACTTTCCTTGCGCTTACGCGCGACCAGTACACAAGACATAAAAGAAAGGCTCAACCGCTCAACCAAAAGTCCTCGAATGCGGGAGCTGCTTGAAACGTAGCCGAAGATAATCGATAATCACACAAGAATCGAAGAGGAAGAGGCGGCGGCTGCTCTCTCCGCAGCCTTATATACCCCGCCGCTTGGCTACCTTCCAAGCTGGAGGTGGTCCTGCAGCAGCCTACAAAAGGCGCGACAGGCAAATGCGGCAAACAGCGCCCCCGGCCTCCTGTTCCGAGGAGCGCTCTGCATCGCGGAGCCGCGACAAAATTTGCTCTTTGTTGAGTCAAAAAACACTCTGCGGGCGAAGCCAGGCATATCAGCTAGTTACTCATTATGCTTGGTAAGGTCCCTATGTTATGCTTACCATAGGTAAGCGACTATGCGGGGAGTCTATTAAAGCAGAACTCAGTAGGAGGAGGGACCTTATCCGACGTCGTGTGCCACACCTCTTACTTGACCCTCCCAATCCCTTGGAGTTAGATTGCCTTTTTCAGCTTCAATATAGCAAGTACTATCAATTGAAAAAGTCAGACTTTGTTCATGTTTCTTTTATTATACAGCGAAGGTCTTTCATAATTTATCGTGGCAGCATTTGAAACAAATTATGCAAACCTAATTTTTGGAAAGCAAGCTAAAACTTCTTCTCTATTTACTTCACAACTTAGATATGCTGGGACAAAATATGGCGTGGATCATATTTCTACCAAAAACAGGTAAGATTCCAAATGCTATGACGTGAATCCTCACAATCTATTATAAATGAAAAAAGACCCATATCTACCTAATATGTACTTGGATGCGCTGTTCCGCTTTGACTAAAAATGGACAAATTTCGAAAGAACAGATTTCAGTGTTTTTTCCTGGATGATTCTTTTGCTATCTGAATACAGTCAATCTGCCTGGTTCATCATGATTTCAGTTCCACTGTTACTACAGGTTTCATAAGCAGTATCTCGGAAAAATCACGAAATTTTATCTTAACAAACAAACTGGTGGCAGTTTTCCTATGGAAAATAATCTTCTGCACAGTTGTTGGGTTCCATATGGAAGGGACGCAGGAGTTCCTAGCACCTCCATTCGCACCAGCATTCACACTCCAGAAAGCTCCTCGCACCTTCGCGCAACAAAGGTCAAATCCCGCCCCCGCTCCACTCCTTCACTGGTTTCATTCGAAGACTGCGGGCTGAGGGATAGCACAGACATGCAACAAAAATTCATGAAAAATCATCATCTCGCGAGGCAAATCTCCTAATTATTGCACTTTATGAGCAAAGACACTTTGAAACTCCAAAAAAAATCTTAGTTTTCTAGGTAAGCAGTGAGTATATTTTTTGATTCGGAACTGTGTTTTATGAAGAAAATGCGTTGATAAGTTGATTTTCACTACAAAGAATTTTTCACATTTGTTTCTGCATTACTATAGATTAAAGCTTGCCAAACGTACGGAGCATTGCTATGAACGTTCCAAAGATTTCTTGATGATAACTATCGCCATTTTGATACTACCACTCTGGCACTATTTACAACCAAACTCAATACGTTTGCAGTGCAATCTTCGAAAACTTGTTTTTGTGAGGTGCCAACAAAAAGATGAATTGAAATAACTATCGTGGAGCCCAAAACCCAGTATTGGAAACGCATTCAAACTCTAGGAAGAAGTTGTTGAAAATGATGAGAAGCTCAAATTATTCGGTTAATAATTCAAGATCTAGCTTCAAAAATGTTCTAAACCGCAATAAGTCAACGCTAATTCTGGATAGATTCTGTGGTTTTGATTCTATAGAGCAGAGCAAGCTCTACAAGGTAGTGTTTTGAATCAAATTTGATCTACGCGGATTTGTAGCCAAAAAACCAGAAAGATCCAACTGTCCGAAAAATCCGAAAAAAATTAGAAATTCCATTAAAAATTGCACTTGTGCAACTTGCTTAAGAAATATGTTTTCACATCAGAGGTACCTATGTACATATTGCTGAAAATTGAGAAAACGGAAGTATCCTTGCTTCCGACAAAGCGATGCCCATAAGTGATTTCATAACTTCTCATCTGTCACCTTCCATCCGTCATTATTCATCCGTTTAACAGAACACATTGGGACTGTACTCCAATCCTGCACAGCTCGGAATAAGATTAGCTAGTGGGCGGAGCAAGTGGGCGGAGCCGTCTAAAAGATGCGAAGGCCCCTTGGAGGTGCTAACTACCCCTGCTAGGAAAGGCGGCAAGGCTTTGGGAACTCCTGGGCCGCCGCCGTTCCGTATATTGCAGTCATTGGAGAATGTGCAGGAGTTCCTAGCACCTTTCCTCGCACCAACTTCGCACCAGAATTCTCACCCAGGAGGGTTCTAGCACCTTCGTTTCTCAGAGGTCAGGCTCCGCCCATCGCTCCACCCATTTACTGGCTTCATTGTGAGGTGTGCAAGCGGCGGCGTGGCAGGATTCCCAAAGCCTCGACGACTTTCCTTGCAGGAGTGA